AAGTCACAGTGACAGGCACACATTATTTTGGCTTTACACAAAAAATAATGTAAGTAAAAGGTCCACATGGTAGGACGGCTCTGATTATGGAGCATTTTAGGTTTGGTTTTTTCCTCACTCCTAGGTCCATCCCCTGACTGGTATTTATCTATTTTTTTTCAACGTAACAATTTTTAACTTTTGACCTATAATAAAAAACATATAAATAGTACAAGGGCATGTCAATAAGATAAAATAATGTTTTGAAAATACTTCATATATATTTTTGACTGAAAAAATCAAAATTGGACAAATTCTAGGGATGAACCCATCCACGAAGAATGAGACATGTGTTGCCTTATTGATAGAGTGCTTCACACAATGAAAAAGAAAAACCCCACCATAATGGGCTAAAAAGATTATACAATCATCGAAGAAAAAGTAAGACCAATTATGGAAAAAAGTACTCAGGTGCATCTTAGAATTATCTTCTTGTTGGTTTTTTCTTGGTCAAATATGTCAAATTTTGACCATAAAATATAGAAAAAAAATTGAATTGTGATATAAATTTAATATCAATAGATGCATTTTAAAATAAAGTATTAAATTATCATATTCATGTTATTTAAAATAATATGTAAATAGAGATCAAACTAGTGCATTGGGGAGCTTGAAAAAGCAAAGAAGAAATTCTGGGATGGATGGAGTATAAGTATATAATTATATATAAAGTATATTCGGTTCAATGAATTTGGAAAAAAAGGAAAGAAAATGATTTTTCCCCATTTCCCAACCAAAATAATAAAAATTTAGTTTTCTGACTTTTCTCGTGTCTTAGTATATACTCCCTCCGTCCCTAAATAAACTTCCCTTTTTAACTTTTTGATAATTTAAGGGAGGGATATTTTTGTATTGACTTTCCAAAAATACCTTTGATGTGATGTGTAAAAGTAAGATGTGATATGTAGATTATTTGTAAAAAGGTATGATGTGATAGGTAGGGTATGAAAAAGTAAGGGGTAAAATGGGTTTTTTAAGGGGAAAAGAGAAGTTTATTTGGGGACAAAGAAAAAACGAAAGAGGAAGTTTATTTAGGGACGGAGGGAATATATCACTATATCACTGAAATTAAAAAAAAAGGAGCATATTTTTTACCAAAAAAAAGGAGTATATTTTTTTACCAAAAAAAAAAAGGAGTATAGTTGAAATAATAAACTTTTTAAAAGGCAAGTAAAAAACATCCTTGTCAGACCAAAAGAGTGTCCGCACAAGCTAAAAGTGTGGGGAGAATTAATCTAATTTAAATTACAAAAGAAGAATAAAAAAAAGAGGTGGGGATTGTTTGATTAGTTTCTTTTGCAATAACGGAGGAGGAAAATGTGGTGGAAAATCCACATAGGAATTTGTACGAAAGACTAAAAAGTGAATATAAGAGTGATATAATTACTTACACTTGCTTTTTCAGCAATCACAGAAATTTTTATTTATTTCTACGTTTTTATTAGTTATTTGATAAAATAAAATATTTTTCACACTTCTTATTTTGAAAAACTTTTCATTTAGCTTTTTGATATGTAAATTTTATTTTTTATTTCTATAACAATACGTAAATAAAATGAATTGAACAAACTTATTATTTTACATCGAGAATACAAGTGTGACAATTATTTAGGGACGGTGGGAGTATTATAATACGGAGTATCAAAAGTTTGTAGGTGGCCAATAGTCGGTGAAGAAAAAAACAAAAGAAAAATAATTACCCATATACATAAAAACGTTCACAAAGAAATTTCACACGAAGTATTATGCAGTAAAAATTGCAACCCAACAATTTTGACATTCTTTAAAAAACGTTATATGTTCGAGTCATCATAAAGAGAGAAGTATTTTTTTTGTATTAATAGTGATAGATTCCCCTCTTCGTTTCTGTTGACGATGTTCGACTGATTTTATTTTTAATATTATTTATTTGAATTGTAGGTGTAAAATTTAAATATAAAATTTATATATTTAAAAAATACAATAAAAGTTCAAAAAAATAAGAGATTACAAGATTATATAATTTTATCAAATAATAAATTAACAAAAATTAGTAAAAAAAAATTAAAATTTAAATGTGTGAATAATAATTAGAAAGAACGTTTTAGAAGTAATCTTTCTAAAAACATTATTTTCTTCTTGGGACGTCCTAAAAAGTATTTTCGATGTAACAATCTAGTGAATAGCTGGAAGTAAATCTTACTCAGTAAAATAACTTGGGATTAATCCGACAAAATAGGAGAAAGCGGATAGAAAACAATCAATGGCGCACCTCATTATTTCACTTTTATACTTCAAATCAAAGATTACTTTGAGTGGGGTTAGTTGATTTTGACCCATATTGTGTTCCATACTTGTGTACTTTGCCAAGAGAATACTACTTTTTTTCTTTTAAATAAAAAAAGCAAATTAAACTACTATACGAGTATTTATAAAAATTGAAAGGATAAAACAATAAGATTCCCATCTATCTTCATTATTGTGAGCTTGTCTCCTTCTCCACTTTCATCTACATCTTCATTGCCATAAGAAAAATATGACCTAATCCCTCTTTTGAGAGACTTGAGCCTCTCTTGTACAAAACACTATGATGAGATTCATCTTTTTTTACTCACCATAGAGAGACAATGAGTGAATCATTGCTTTCTTTACCATTGATAACTATTACCATTGCAGTATGTTATACACGTTCATATTTTCTCAATTTATTAATGCATAGTGAAACAATTTTTTTCATTGGAAATTGACCTGAGTGAGTGGTACGGGCGGTGGTATCAGAGGGACAAAGCCCCCCTAACGACGAGGAGCACAAGGAACCTCGAGCGCGCAGGAGTGGTCGAGATAGGTGACAACTAGGGCGGACCCAAAGATTATGTTATATAATGTTTTATTTTATGTATTGTAATTTTTTATTAGGTCAGCGTATTATAAGCCATTTCAAGGGTCTCTTTATAGTTCTCTATTTCATCACTTTTCTTAAATCGTCAGGATAGATAATCTGATTTGTTGGAATTAAGATTAGGATTACTATCTTGCGGAATCCAAGAACACTCGAAGTTCCTCACTATCCGATACGCTGTACGTATCAATGAGCATTTCACATGACCCGGCGGAGTAGTTTTCCCAACATTCAATGAAAATATAGTACTAGTTCTTAAATATATCTTCAATTTACATGAGACGTTTGTAATAGATCTGATTAGAGTCAACACTCCACTGGTATCCGAACTTGTAATCAATCTCTCATTTGGGAAACCACACTTATGTGACTCCACCACAAGGTCTTTAGCCACATACAAAACTCCGAGACAGTTAAAATAAAATTGTCATAGTGAAAATGCATTGTTTTGGGTGCATGCATTAAGATCACAAAGGTAATATTCGCAAATTTAATTTGCTTCATTTTGAGGCAACAAAAGATGGGGGTCTACCATGTGGTTAGGCTGCAGGGTACAAAGCACAACACGTACATGAATACATCCCCATATGAGAGTATAATTCTATCCAATATTCTATCCAAGGGGTATATAATATAATTATATATAGCCCATCAGGTCACTCGAAGTAGTTGACAAAGTTACTGCGGCTTTTGAAGACAATAAAACAAAAATACAGCTAATGTTGGTCACCCATTCTCTTTGTTTTGCTACTATTATTGTTACGTGGGTCAAATGGTTAACATTGGACATCAAAAGTTCGACTCCTGAAAACTACGCTCGCTCATCCAGTGGCAACAGTGCCAAGTGCCAGAAAACAAACGATGCCATCCAATTTCTTGATATAATTTTGTCTTAAAAATATCGCCTTTGAATTAAAATATTACTCCCTTCACCCCAATTTATTTGTTTAGTTTGACTTTTAGACAAATCTTGACCATAAACTATGATATATATATATATATATATATATATATATATATATTTAATTATCATAAAAATATAATACAATTAAATTCATTTAAAGATATAACTGATATCAAATTTTTATACCTTTTATTTATTTGAAACTATATAATTCGTGGTTAAAGTAAATCTAAAAGTTAAACTATGACAAATAAATTACTACTCATATTCTTATTATTGTTGTTATTATTATTATCGGCCTCTTTCTTTTGACAACAAAAAAGGGTGTCATATGATGACAACAATAGTGCACATATACTTTTTCTTGAACAACAAAATATTCATTTCAGATACTTAATTATTTTAGCATAGATTCAAAGCATGTACATTACAAAGTATATGTATGTTTATTGAAAAGTACATAATACTCATTGCATTTATGCAAAATGTACATTTACGATTAACATAATAAAGATGTATGTACAAATAAAACAAAGAAAATATGCAAAATGAATATTCAATTACTCGAAAATGAGTATTTATCGTGGATGTACAAGAAATACCATAGATCTGGTTGTACAATATATATTGCCCCAATTAGAGAAGAACCGTCCATTTTTAGAGTAAGAGAGAACCATCAATTTTTCGTCGAATGGGGCGTCGCAATTTAATTGTTGTAAATAAATGTTATTCTAAGAATAAGTGCCCTCTCTATTTAAAACTCTCATTAAGATTTTTTACTAATGTTTATAATTAGATTAGGTTTGTTGTTCGTAACATTTTTCCTGATAAACTAATACTCCGTGACATAAACTCAGAATGATAAGGGTGCACAAAATTCAAAATACTCTTAAGGTCCGTTTGGTACATAGAATTGACAGAATTGAAATTGAATTGGAATTGAAATTCTATAGAATTGAACTCGATGGAATTGAATTCTCCAATTCCATTTCATTTTTTGAACTACCAATTCTAAATTCTCATATTTTGGTGCAACCAAACCCCAGAATTAGAATTAAAGTCTCCAATTCCACAACTTGAATTCTGTGTACCAAACGGAGCTTTAGAATTTTTTATCGCGAAATAAATAAGTGATACAAAATTTCCGATTGGACTGGTTCGCAAATTTTCCAGTTTAACAGGGCAACCAAACAGACCGGTTCAGTTCTGATAACATAGTAGAGAACCTAAACTTAAAAAAGGATAAACTTCAAAGAAAGTGCAATGCTTATTTTAGAAGGGGAAGAGTTTGTGGCCAGGTTCCATTTCCAGTCTTTCTCCCTAGAACAGTGTCTAACTCACATTTCTGTGGGAAAACCCGCCCGATCTCTAGTGATGGAAAGTTGGAACAATAAGGTCTATAGCTAAAATGTGCCCATAATGGCTGGTATTGATGGTATCACTTATAGCCCTTAGATAGTCTACTCTAGTACTATATATATATATAAGCAGACACATAACAAAAACACTCCCTACAAGTAGAACAGATATCTCTAGTTCTAAGCTGGTCCCCGAGTAGGTGGGTAGGAGACATAAGAATAGGTTCCTTGCTGTGCACACATATGCACACATGGTCCATAATAATGTACACAATTCGATCAAGACCATAAACCGATGTTACAAGTGAACTGCACTTAAAGAAGGTAGAGGCACCTTACGTGAGTGGGATGGTGTGGGCCCGGTGACCTTAGCTCTTTACTCCGCCTTGTAGGCCCACCTATGCTTGGCCAGATATGCGTGAACTGCTTCTTTGATAGCCAGATTGGGAACCAGCTGACATGTGTTCACTGGATCTCTAGTGATTGGGTCAAAGTTTCCCACCTGACTTGTCACAAAAAAAGGTGGAAATGATCAAGGATATTCAGCAAAAACCCAGAGTGATGATGATTAACGATTTTACCTTCTGCAAATGATTAAGGATAACTGCCCTCTCGTAGGTAAACCCACTAGGTGTAATGACAGGGTCACGGAAAATCTCCAATGTTATGTTACAGCACAAGTAATCAGGAATCTGCAAATCCTCTGCCAATGTTATGCGCCGCATGAGTAAAAAAGGGAAGAGCCAAAAATGAATATAGTCAACTGAATTAATCACCTCAGTTGGTGTATCATCTTCTGCAGCTTTTTCAAAGACTAAATTTAAGGCCTCGAGTTTTTCCGAGAGAGATATTAAATGTCCAAATGAAGATGACCCTTCTTTCCTCACCTTCTCTGTGCTATCAAGTAAACATTTCTCCTTCAGAGCAACCTCACAAGCCTCTCTGTGGTGCACAGATCGAGGACAACAATGAAGATTTAACCAATGAAATTGCGTAAACAAAATTTTTACATATATAAACATATACATAACTTCAAATTCTGCTTTTCCCAAGCACGGGTTGTAGATTCATGTTCCCACTCTAAATATTTTGCATTTCCAAGCTCTTCCCAGATCTCCTCTACAATGTAACTAGTTTGATCAGCACCTCTACCAAGATCCAATGCCTAAAGTAATCAATACCCACATTAGAAGCCTTACCAGAGAGATGCTGATATGAGTATATCAAGAGACCATTTTTCATCACTTTTCTAGAGTAAACACCCATGTTATTAATTCTCTGTCCGCACGTTTTGTTTGCTAAAATGTACATGGGTAATTGGGACTACAGTATTTCAAGGAAGAAGTGCTTTTCGAAGGAAAAAAAAGAACTTTTATTCCAGAAAGTAGCATTTTAATGCTTAGATTGGTAAAATCACGTTCCATAAATTATCCCAAACAGGCTCTAGAATTGCATGCCTAGAAAGTAGAAATAAACGATGCATAGACCAATTATGCACTCAAGTCCCAAGCAACCTTCCCAACCTAACATGACAACAACAACCGGGTTAAATCTCACAATAGTAGGGTTTGGGGAGGGTGTGTGTACGCAGGCCTTACTCCTACTCGAAAGTAGAGAGACTGTTTCCAAAGAGACCCCCGGCAGTTGCATTGTCCAAGGTAACATGAACTTCGTTATTTATAACAATTAGTCTTGGTGTTAAGTAACTTCCATTCCTTTTCTGATTTTAAGTTTTCAGTTTTTTTAAGATCTAGCAGCATACTCAAGAACGAAATTATGTTAAATCGGTTCCATGCCAGAACAACTCCAACCGTATCAGCTATTTTTATAAAATAGCATTTATGGCCTTCACTGGAGATGATTTTTGGTCTCCAACAGATCTGCCAAATTATAGCTAATAAGCTATATTTGGAACCTCAACATCTATATATGCATGATGCTACAGTATCAGCTATCAATATGGAGTAAATTGTGATAAAATATGGAATATTGGAATACATGTTATGGTTGGAGCATTTCTACTATTTATCGTGCGTTTTGAAATATAGCATCCCATTTTTTAGCATCTCCCTTGGAGATGAAGCAAAACATAGACTCACATAGCAGATTACTCTAAATTGTAAAATAATGAGAGGCAATTATACAATACTAGTCATAAAGCGCTCCAATCTCAAGAAAATTTATAGCACATCCTTCTCCTAATAAAACAGGAATCATCAAAAATTATGTTCCTATAGCTCATCCATATATATATCTGGTTAATGCTATGACATCACTTTAGGGGTCTATTTGGTATGGGTTATTTGGTTGAATTCAAATGGCTTAATCTGCAGATTTTTCTAATAGGAAAAGCACTTTAAACTTTATTTCTGCCAATTAAGTAACTCAAAAGCTACGTATTCAACATATTTTGTTGAGAAGCACACCAATCCAATTATCACTGCAAAATAGGGTGTAAAACTTCCAACTCACATAATAGTTTATCATTACACAGATCATACCAGAATGGTAAAGTTAAGTTACTTGACAGTATGGTAAATACTTCTAAGAACAAACATTGATATAGTTTCGATATAAACTTGAACCCCATCTCCAGACAATAAACACTCAACTCAAGAAATGCATCTAAAAGGTAAGCCTTCCATCGTAAAAAAGCAAAATCCATGTAACTATTCTAGGTTCATAACTTTTGTTTACTTATGTATTTTTATTGATTATTTGATTAAATAACATAGTCATGTCACATCTTTTTTGTAAGATTTTTTATGTAGTTCCTAAATATGTAAGTTTCACCTTTTGTTTCTATACCAATTTTCAAATAAATTGAATTTTTTTAAAAAAAAAACTTCAACTTACCTCGCGAAGTGCAAGTCGTATTTTTTTGTAATTGTTTGAGGGACGGACGGAAAATAGGTGGGAAAAGGATTCAAGAATAACTATAACAGCAATGTTCCAGACACAGTAACTAGAAGGGTGTTTGAAACAACATGCAATATCATGACACTTAAATGTATTTATTAGAGTGGGAGAGAAGGGAGCACAATGCATACTTTTTCCAATTCTCTGACACCTACAGCAAACTCCTTTTTCTGAAGCAAAGCAAGTCCTAGCATATAATGTGCCTGTTATAAAGAAAAAGTTAAAAGAGCATAATATTGTTAATGCAATGGGAAAAGACTCCATGAAAAGTAAACAAATAACCCTAAGGTGTAAATATTTTTTATCTTCTGTAAACTCAAAATAGACTCGAGATGATCATTTAAATAGGCTTGATGTGATTCCAAGAGCCAAACAAGAATAAATACCACATCGAAGAGTGAAGAAAAGGCTCCCTGATGGAATGTCTAACTAATCCATTCTGGATTGACCAAATTGGATAAAAGCTATTTTCTAATGTGCCTCGGGGGGGGGGGGGGGGGGGGGG